GCTGGAATAGCAACATACCCAAGGGTATTTTGTTACACATAATTATTGCAAACACAAGTAAAACTATAACTGAAACGAATCAAAACTAAACTGAAACTAAGGATTTTCAAAAAAAAAATAAAAACTAAACTAAACTTGCAAACAAATGGTAAAAACTAATTAAAAATTATATAAAATTGAAAATCTGAAGTCAAAACTAAATAAAAATAAAAACTAATGAAAATTGCAAAACTATTAAAACCCTGCTGTTAAACTGCATTTCGGCAGAAAGAACAGCCACTACCTCATCTTGCCTTGTAACTTTATATGACTTATCAAAGTGGGAGGAAAAGATGTATGGAGAAGCCTTGTAACGACTGTGGAGCGTACCACATCACTTGTAAAACACAGTGGCGGCAGTGTGATGCATAGGCACTCATGATTTCCACTGGTAATGGATCACTCTTGTTTACTGGTGATTTGACAGAAGACAGAACTAGCCTGATGAAGTTATATTTTCTGCTCAGATTCGTTCAGTTGACTGGCCAGCACCTCACGGTAGCGATGGACAATGTGAAAGCGACCCAAAAGTTTTTGAAGGTAAAGAAGTGGAGAGTCAGTGAGTCATATGACTATCACCCCACCAAGCTGTATTTCAGCTCAAACTAATGGGAGGTAGAGAGACCCACAAACAACTAAAGACATCTACAGTAAAGACCCAGCTTTATGGCTTTAGTGATGCCCAGATTTCAAGTAACCATCACCTGCAAAGGATGCTTGAAAAAGTAATAAAAATTGCTTTATCTTCATTTTATCCATGTCTATATTAATTATCTAGTGACATTTACATATGGGTAGAAACAGTACTCACCGTCATCTCATTTATCATCTCGTGGCAAATTTAGATTGTGAGTTCAAAGGAATTATAAGACGAATGATGGGAAAACACTACAAATCACTATTTTTTAGTATAACCAATATTTTGACAATGTGCTATTTTCAATTTTTAACTTGGTAAAAAAAATTGAGACTTTTCATTTAGGGTTTCCTAAACAAGCCCATCAACCAAAACCTCCTGATATTAGAAAAGGTTATTAGAATATATGAGTTTAATGTTTTATACTTAATAAAAGCAATCTAAACAACAATGAAGAGCCTGTTCTTTCTCCAGTGTATTCCTTAAATTGTTACTCATGGCACTAAGCCAACACGTGTATCAATGTGACTACAGTATGACTGTATATATACAGCGAGGGGCCATATCAGGGTACGTTTTCTGCATGTGAGGAGTTCATGAGGAGCCATGAACACAAGCATTAGGCGCCTATATTGACTGTGTGTGTCCTACATTCAAAACGGAAGATGTTTTTTTTATGTAAGCGTCTTATGGTTCATGGACTCGCACTGAAACAGACACACACACACACACATAAGCCCACACTTATGGGGTGACAGAGTGCACTGGCTGAGCTCAGATGAACCAATGGCAACCTGGGGAAGGAGGAATGTGCATGGCGCTGGTCCAAGAGAGGCCGTCAGAATCCTCAGCAGGCAACCCCGGTTGTCTTAGCGAACACAAGTGTGAGTGTGTGAAAGTCTGTGCATCTGCACAAGAAGGTGGTAGGTGTAGTAACTGTAGAACTATATGAGTATGTATAATTTTACAGACAGTTTGCAATGGATTGCCTTTACATATGTATGAGAAAACACTTTCAGTTCAAAGTTTGTATTGTTTTTGTCAGTTTTGTCACATTACAGTATATGAGAAGTTCTTACTCACTGTCAATCAGCGCACGCAGTCAGGCACAGGCTCTCCTCACAAGACAACCCCAGTGACAACACACTGATGAGATAAAGTTATCTGCAGTGTTATTGTGGGATGCTTCATCTAAATTCCTTAGCATTTACAGGATGCAGTGAAGCATCTGCAGGCAAAGATTTCACTTGCAAATGGGCAGTTACTACAACCAGCAAGAAGGAGATCTAGGTCCCTAGAGAGGCTACAGAGTCAGAGAGGACACTCACTATACCACCACTCATGCCAAAAATACAGCATGATGTCATGCAGATTCCAATTGTGGACTGCAGTAGAAGAAACAGGGTCATGTGTGCACTTGACTAATGCACAACCGCACAAGAAAAAAGGAGAGAGGGGTAAGGAGGGAAAGGAAGAGAGTGATGTGCTGCTTAAAATATTCAATCCTCCTTCCATTAACTAACCGTGTAGGGATGGCAACACGACCTGCACTGTACATCTCGAGAGAGAGAGTGGAAGAGAGAGGGGAAAAAGAAGGAAGAGAGATGGTGCAATGTGGGATCAGACCTCTTTTATCCAGTTGCCTTTAAATCCAGCTCAGCATTTTCTTGATGATGTCATCTCTTTTTCACTCTCACTTTGCTTTCTCCTTCACCTCCATCTGCTCTCTCCCTCCACCCTTACTGAACTTTCCGTGTCTTGCGCACACATGTTCATCTTCCCTTCCTCCGCAATTACACAACGTGAGGTGCATTACAATACATAAAGCATCATGTTTAAGCACACCAAGATCCTTATAAATCTGGAGCTGCTTATAGTCATCCCAAGTTCAGCTGCACCCAAGTGCAGAGCTAGCTTGCCTGCACACTTCCATATTCCCCTTTCCTTACACCACAGCCACCTTGCGGCAGCTGACACACAACAAGAACACCAAACAAACAAACAAACAAGGGATAGCATAGACACAACCAGATGGGGGAACGCGTGTAGGTTTTTATTGCATGTGAAGTAGAAGGGTGAAAGGAGGGAGGTGGTGGTGGTAGGGTTATATACACACTGTATCTCAGGCACCAAAAGGTGAAGGAAGTGTCTATTTACAATACAGATGTATGTAGCTATGAATTTTTTTTTTTATAGAGACTCTGTGGTGTCTGTAATGCAGCAATGTGGGTGCCATACAGATATTCATTTTCAATTGTAGTGTGCTTGCATTGTAGTGCTAAATACATTACCAACCTAGGGTACATATTTACTCAGCAGCAATAGTGAAGCTGCAACTGCACAAATTGTGCATATGAGACTAGGTGAGCAAAGGTTTTATGCATGTGTTTCTGTCTCTCCGCTGACTGAGAATCTATGTCTTTGATGTAACGGAAAACTCTTAAATGCTAGTTAGAAATTGCTGGCAACCATGTGGACAAATGTTTGCAATCCCCAAACGTGTCAGCTCAGGGGATCCATGCAGAAGAGACCTGCTTTATATCAAACTATTCAACCGTAGAACCTGAAATCTAACAGCTGACCTGCAGGACGTGCGGAAGAACAAAAATCATCATTTACCATCAGATCCTGATCCGACCGTGCGTGAGTGGATTTGCTGTCACTGTGCCATGCACGTAAATGCACTCATCAATTTTATTTTCTAAATCCCATTTCAGTTTGAACCACTCTTTATATTGTGGACCACTATAAACATTTTGCTCACGTCTAAAATTAAATTGTGATACCCAATAAAAGAGGCATCCTTATATGTATATCTGTCTCTGTTGCTCCACCTGGATATCAATTCAGGTCTGCTCTCTTTCATCAAAGCATTATTGAGAAGTAGAAATATGTGGAGCTCGGCTCTAAACGTGCGGTGTGAGGTGACGAGCCACAGGAGAGGGCTACAGCTTTGGCACTATGCTTACACCTTTGAGCGATCCATGCACACTAATTATGCATTTGTTTCAAACGAAGGAACACTCTTAGTGTCACAGAATCACAAATTGAAGCGTGCTTCTTTCAGTGTTAAATATAGTGGAATTTTGCATTAAACTGCCTGCAGAAAAATGTGTGCAAACAGGCCCACATATGCAATAAGCCCAGTATAAAAAAATAACTGTCAGTGTTTTCAGTTACAAAATTGACAGACCTCTTTAGGAAATATGACATAGGGTTTTGCCCTCAGGAAATCTGGCCCTAAAAATGTAAGTCATGGTGGAACTGTTCAGAGGACGCTACATCAATAACCCACTCCTTCTAGCATATGACTTTGTCTTTTTCTGTTTATCAGTTAATGAGTTGTTCCTGTTTACTTGTCTTTTTTAAAGAGCTGAAATGACTCAGAGACATTTAAGTGTGTGAGCAAGAGATGAGCTCATTAACCGAGTGTGTCTCAATGTGCAATGTCTCTGCAGTTAAAAAAATAAAAATGTATCCCCAACACTACATAACCACCACTGTCAGCAGGCCTTAAACAGAGATTTAATGTTAGCGGCTCACTGTCAGATTATTGTTGACAGTTGCTGTTAATGTACCAATGCATGTATGTGACTTTAGAACAAACAGGGCTTCCCCGTGACAAAGAACAAGAGGACAACAGGAACAGATAATTACTTGGAAAACACCACAACTTGATTTCCCAACTTTCATGTGGGGTCTGTTCAGGCCAGGGGGAGAGCGAGAAAAGGAATTTGGACTCTCTCTCAGTTGGTTAAGCAGCTGTTTCTCTGGAGGTTCAGGTTGGGCAACAAGAGAGCAGAGTAAAGAAAGAAGAAAATAAAAAAGTGAGAACAAGGGAAAGAGTGAGAAACGGAGGGGCTGTGTAACTGGAGTCTTGTTTCATTCCAAATCAGATTGCTTTATAGTAACACAGGGGGTGAGTGGTTCCAGGCAGCAGACAAAGGGCCAACAGGATCAATATTGACATTCTCCTTAGTGATAGATGAGTTGGCTGGGTGAGGTCAGGGACTGGACCTTTGTATTAGCCAGAGAGCATTAGTGGTCACGGCTGGGGGACACTTACAGTAACCTTGGCCTTTCAGTATAATGGAGGGTCTGAGGGTGCCCAGGAGAAGTCCCTCCCTTTTATGGGCTTTATTACCGTAACGGAGCTCCATCCTCCACTGGCCCGATTCAAACACAGATCATTACTTTGTCAAAACAGCTACCAGACCACATTGGCACTTGCACAGGCAAACTTGTGCAGCAAACAGAATCTCAAGGTGGCTGTTTTTCAACACAGCAGTCGTGGGAGATGAAGAAAGGACAACACAAGACAAAGCAGAGCAAGTGACTGTTTATTAGGTCTTATTCCAACAGCATGTACAATAGGACAGATTCACTGGTAAGTCTTGCACGGTAGGCAAAGATACACACACAGAGTACAATCTTTTTCCAGAGTTACGGCAAGATGGGCTACCACAAAATGCTGCAATATAACCCTCCTGTAATTTCCATGTGCTCGCTTTGCTCAAACATTTTAATTGTTGTTTACCTTAAGTGGTCAATTAATCCAAGGCAAACTCATAAAAGAGAGAAGGCTGTGGGCTGCCCAGATAGTCAGATCCAACTAGCCTAAGAATAATGGCTACTAGGGACATCACAGTCATTGGTGGGAAAGAAGAAGATCATAGTGGAGGGATGAGCATAATAGGAAAAACACAGTAGGGGTGCAGGGAGAAAACCTCTGAAACAAAAAAAAAAAAAAGAGAGAGAAACAAAGCGAGGAGGTGCAATTACACTGTTGCCAAAGAGATGGTGGTAAAAAGGAGAGGAGATGGGAAAAGTAGAGTGTGAGGAGGAAGAGAAGAGGTCATCTGAGGTGATAGAAATTTGGTGAGTTGGGTTCATCAAAGATGGAGCTTGGCCACTCTCCTCCTCCTCGGATTCTGTTCTGGCTCGGGTTACTCAGTTGACGCCTCGCAAACACAAACACAAACACACACACACGAAACACATGGCTGCAGTCTCCCACGCACATGCTCGTTCTTCTTTCATGCACACTTATAAGTGTTTCTTACAGAAACAGAAGTGTCATCAAAATATTGTAAGTCAATGCATGTTGATCCCTATGAAATGCACACATACACGCATAGTCTGTCAGTCTGTCTCAGAGCCCAAACCACTCGGTGACCCCTCCTCTCCTGGGGTCGAGTTTCTGCCTCTGCTTTTCGTCCTCCATGAACTTCTCCTGCATCTCCTCCATAGAGCCCTCAGCCGGTGCCCGCTCTTTTTCTGGGAAGATGTCAGGAAAAGTAAATGTCTGGCCCAGCGCCTGATGAGGAGGCAAAGACAGAAAGCACAGAGAAAAATTTTAGCTTAAAAAACACTGTGTTCTTACTTAATGAGAGAAATCGGTTGTTTGTTAAGACTCAAAAACCATCAATCTTGTAAATCACTTTCTGTGTAACAAATATGTCAAACTGCACCTTCCTAAAATAAATCACAGTTCTTTGCAAAAATGAAGGCGAGTGTGTCACCATTCTTGCTCTGTTACTCTTCATATGACACAGATGCTCACTCACTCTCTTGTCTTTAGTTTTTTTAGCTCTCCTCTCCTGTCCATTTCTCTGGTCTTGATTTATTCAGAGGGAAAAGATGGTATCCATTATTTATTCCATACTAACCCATTTCTAGCCATAACTAATGCATCTCTGGCAAAATGTAGCCTGTGTCATGTTAACATAGAGTACAGTACAGACAGCACATATATGCATGCATGCACACTCACTTGCACACAAGTGCGTTCACACACAGAGACAGGTCATGCATGCAGACATGCAAACATATCTACAGCCTGTCTCTCTGAGCGTCCCTCGTGGACACCTGGCAACAAGAATTCAGTTGAGACTGATAACAATAGAGTCAAAGGATCAAATGAGGGGAAAATGCAAGAACATGTCATTTTTATCACAGGGCATTTACATGTTAAGCAAAGTGCTATAACTTAGTAGTTTCCCCAACAACAGTAGAACATCTACCAGAGAAATATAAAAACCCAATCCTCAATATATTTGTCAATACATCTAAAACACTAAAAGAACCTACATGATCAATTCTCTCATAGAATCAAATTACAGTGAATCACAGAGAAAATAACCTTCACCCACAAGAGTTATACATCTGTGCTTAGTTACATCTGAAACCCATTCTTAACTCTTCTTAGTTGAACCCAGACACCTCGGGCTAAGGCCACACCACTACAGTCGACCCCCGGAATTCGCGGGGATTAGGGACCACAACTGCCCACGAATTGCTGAAATCTGCAAATACCTCTAAAAATGCCTATTTTAATTTTCCCGTGAGCTTTGTGTTAGGAATCTGCGCGTTGTTTGGCAAATCTTTTTTAGGAAAAAAAACAAAACAAAACAATTTACTGATATTTTGGTGTTTTTACATTAATGTTAATATTTGAAAATTAGTCAATTTTTTTTAATCATAAGAAATGTATTTAGTCACTAAAATAAAATGAAAGTAAAAAATATTTTAGCGCTATAGAAATCCGCGAATCCACAAATACTGAACCGCGAATAGGCAGGTGGTTAACTGTATTGCCACTGCTGTAACTACAATTGATAAAAAAAAATAATTAAAATCTACCGAAAAGGTGCTTTTCACTAACCTCAAACAGTGCATACAAACCTAAATTATAGGTTAGAACATGACTACAGTACATACCAGGGCTGCCACGATTAGTCGCCTAGTCACGATTACGTCGACTATCAAAATCGTCGACGACTAATTTAATAGTCGACGCAGGAATAAGTAGCAGGATTTAAGAGTGTAATAACGGACTGAAACAGAAGATGGCAGCACTGCATGTACAAGGATGCCAGCTGCCGTTAAACCCCGAAGAAGAAGCTGTGTCCCAGAATTCATAGCGCAGCCCAGCTCAGTTTCCAACAATGGCGGCAGCTAGTTAGTTTTAATATTATTCTTATTATTCTTTCTGGGTCACAAAATAAACGTTTAACATATTTTCAGGCGAGAATGTAGCTGTGTAAACCTCAAATATCTGCTCAGTTTATCAAGACACCACATATTTTCAAAAGCGCTCCGACATTTTCGGAGACGTCTGTTACCCACTAGCTCGATAGCTAGCCGGGGGCTAGGTCACTAGCGCTGTGAGAACACCGGACTCCAGGCAAATCGTTTTCAAACCCACCGCCGTCTTTCGCTACTCAGGTTAAACATATATAAGTCACTTAGATAACTTACAAATGTTATTTTTGGCTTTTTTTAGTATTTTATTTGTCCCCGAGTAAATCGGTTTGGCTGAGATTAAAGTTATAGTTTTCACACTTCTGATTATCAGAAGTGTGAGATGCTCGAGAATATACTCCAGTGTCCTGTTATATTTTAGATAGCAAGGAGTTTATTCAATTTCACCGAAACAATCTGCAAATTTCATTAAAATTTAATAAACTATCATCTTGTCTCTATTTTTAGTTAGCACATACAGTACCATAAACACCTAAAGCTGTAAGCTAATGATAGTTATATAAGAGCAGATGCATGCTTGTGCAATAAGCTGTACGTTTTATGTCCAATGGCTGCATGATCTGATTAGTCGACTAATCGCAAAAATAATCGGTGACTATCAAAATAATCGTTTGTGGCAGCCCTAGTACATACAGATCAAACTAAATGTTTGATCTGGGAGCACTGTGACAGTTCTGTTTTAAAGCTAGCCGGAAACAGCAGAAAACCATGGTGGTAGATGATGCCGTCTGGGTGAAGCAGGAGCATTTCTTCATAAAGACAATTTCCCAGGAAAGGCATTTCTACTCTACCTGAGCCCTCAAAGCTTTAAACAACTTACCTCATTCACCCATTCATGCAAGCACTTTTTTGTGCTTTTTCTAAGCAAGTGCCTTTCTATCTAACATTCACAGACCTTCATACGGCAATATTGAAACAGCAACCTTCCGATTAGTAAATGACCTGCTCTACCTCCTGAGCTACAGCCAGCACTGTACCCACCCCTGCATCCGGGCAAGAAGACACGATACCTGGATGCAGCTCGTCTGTGCCAATTACTCAAATTCTTGTTTTGTCTGAAACTCACTCATCCATTTCTTAATAACCGTTCGACATTATATAAGTTTTAAAACTTTAAAAACGTAGTAGAAATTAGAGCTGCACGTCATCGGCATAGCAGTGGAATGTAATATTGTCTCCCTGTCTAATGTGACACAGCGGCCACACACACAAAAAGACAGGTCCCAGTATAGACCCCTGGGGGATTCCACAGTTCAGTGCACAGTATTGAGAGCTGTGGTCACCAATGAAAACGAAAAATGTGTTTGGCACAACGATACATTCAGACAATGGTTTTGCTTGCCAAAACTGCTGCAGAGGAGCAGCAACAAAACACTGTATCAACTGCTGCACTGAGTAGTACTAGAACAGAACATTCACTACTATCAGCAGTTAAGATATCATTTGTAATCCTAAGAAGCACGACATCACTTCTTTGATGCTACATAAAACCTAACCTTTTCAAAGATACTGTTATGATGTAATGCTTCAACAAGCTGTAGACAGACGATCTTAAAGTGTTTTGCTATAAAAGGTCATTTGTTATCCAACTACTCTGTGGTAGCCCAAACCTGTGGATAGCTTTGAGGGAGCTAGGAGGCGGCTGAGAAATCAAGTTTTTGGTTGTGGCTCCAGAGGAAGGATAGCAGTTTGGGTAAAAACCAAAAGGCAGCTATAAGGGATGGCAAGGAAACATCACCTATATGTCCTCCTGCCTCCAGCTGATGACCCTGCAACTGACATGCTAGGAGTGGCGGAGGTGTGACAGGATTAGTGCCAAAGCAGGAGAAACATCTCAGCCATGCAAGAATTTACTACTGCTGCCACCACTGCCATTACTGTTGCTGCTGTTACTGTGTTTACTACTTTAATTACTGGTACTATCCATCACTATTGCTACTGTGACTGCAGCTGCTGTTGTCATCAAATTAACCAAATCTACTTGCACATAAAAGCTGAGCAAGTGTCACAGTAAAACAGTGAAACAAACCGTTTAATTGGATCCAGTTAAAAAATTTTTTTGCAGAAATCTACATTACCACTTACCGTCTACCTTTTTTCCCCACCTGATGTATATTATTCTTCCATATTTGCTCGTTTAACACCATGAAATTATGAAGAAAATCATGTAATTATACAGATAACATTGTTGTCCCATCTTTACAAGTGCTTATTTCTAGATGACCACAGAGCACGCACACCAAACCCAGGCAGAGTTTATGCACACTTGTAAATTTTTATACTAATAGATTATTCTGTAAGTCTCATGTATCTTTATGATGTGCTGTTTGGGGTTTCCAAAAAAATGAAAATAAGGATCATTAAAACTGTAGTTTACACTATCAGCTTCCTCTTCATAATAAAATCCACTTAATAATTGATCAATCGGAGTCATTTATGTGTAGAGGCCTGCTACAATAAAAATAAATTGTTTCAATGAACACAATTGTCAATCAACTAAATATGTGAAACATTCTGTATGGGGTCAGTGTGTAGGCGTTAAGGAATGGTCTGGCTCTGATGTGAATGTTACTTTGTCTGTCTCCAACCCCCAAAATACCAAGAGAAACATGCATATAATTGCTGCAAAGCATAGTTTAATTCCCAGAGGGAGAGGCAACATGAAGCTAAAGATGCAGAATGAATCAGACTGTGTCTACTGTAAAAATAGCTGCGAATAAGGACAGCCTATAGCATTTTGGGGAATATGCTAAAATTTGACATAGTCCAGCAACTGGTAACTGCTGATAGATCTCAGAGTCTGCACAGTGGTGTGAAAAACTAGCAACAAACAACAAGCTTACCAAGTACAAGCTCCAGTAAGCTTATTAGTTCATAATACTGTTGGACATGAGAATAGACCCTCCACAATGGTCTTTGTTCTGCTGCACTCGACTTGGACTGTATCAATGGTTCCCAAACCTTTTTCGTTAGGCCCCCCTCTGTTTTACAAGAAAAATCTTCGCGCCCCCCCAACACCTAATCCCCCCCCCCCGCACAAACACATCCTCCAACCACACACACACCCATATTTTGTTTTCAAACTCCATTGTGGTTTATTTCACACCTCAAACATTTAGTAGACAACTACATGAATAAACTGCAATAAATTACAGGTAACAATGAAATAAACTACTAACTCTTTTACGCTACGTCCACACCTACGCGGGTATTTTTGAAAACGCAACTGTTTCTATGCGTTTGGGCCTTTCGTCCACACATAAACGGCGTTTC